AGGCCACAAAGCAAGCTAGTGTCACGCATACCCTGCTGTCCTGAATGTGACAATGAGGTGACAAGGACCTACATACATGTCCCAAACCTCTACTATTAGGTGCCTCAGGCTCAGGCTTCACTGGGAGCTCAGAGTCAAGGGGGCATCATGCCGCCTAGCAGGAGGCTAAGGCAGCAAGTGGTGGGTCTTCTTACCAATCAGCCCAGCAGCCCACCAACTCTGCTGCGGTTACAAGGCATGGCCCAAGGAACCCTGAGCGCCCATGTGGTGCAGCCAAGGGATGAATGCTTACAGCCTCTGGTGACTGGGCCATGGGCTTTCTCTAGGCGGAAACTGCCCATGGCACCTACCCCGCAGCATCCTTGCACCTGCTCCAGAATCATAGGGCTCCCCTCTGTGTTCTGAGGTAACTGGGTGATTTTGCTCAGTCATACTTGCTGACCTGCAACCTGTGTGGCCTGTCGAGGCGATGATGAGCATCAGTTGCCTGACTGTCCTAGAGCAAGGGATGGAGGATGGGAATGGTGGGGTCTGGGATTGGCCTGTGCTTACTGCAGTCACAGTCTGAAGGTTTTCAGCTGAATAAGGCCTGTCAATGAGCAGATGTTGCAGTCTCCCTGCCAGCCTGGCATGGGCCAAGTTGTGGCTGCAAGCATACCTAGTTTTGCTTAGAATAAATAGGTCTTTATCCGTCCTGGTTCGCTGGAGAAGCTCATGGTCTAAGAACATTGATTTGTAGGTTGTTCAAATGGTTACAGTCAGGGTTGGAATTGAGGCTGGATGTCAGAGCTTGGTAGCCCTGACTGTCAGCACTTCAGGACCTGCGTGTAACTGGTGCATTTGCCCCAGGCAGGGCCAGTGATCTGGGGATGTGAAAGTGTTATGGTCAGAGATAGGCTGTCATACCATAGACATTCTGGAAGGTGGCTGGGCTCTGTAAGTCAGGGGAGGGGCTTAACGTTGAGGTTAGATGATCCTTTGCTGATGCAGGGGCCAGTCCACCCTTCCTTTGTGGACTCTGGGGTCCCTTTGTGGAGCTGGGGGTTGAGGATGTCCCTATGCTGTGTGAACAGCTCTCCTGTACCCAGTCCTCTTTGGGTGGCCTGAAGGCCCCATCCCTTGAGTCATTTATCAGGACTGTTTCTGGTACTATATTGGGCCTGAAGAACAGGTGAGGACTATTAGAATTAGAGCTGGAGTTGAGAACAAAGGAGGAAGCCTTTGAGCCTTAAGTTTGTTTGGATCTGGTGGTGGGCAGGTGCTGACAGGCTGAGGAGGAGAGACTGGGAAAGATGTGATTGGAGTTCTAAAGGACTAGGGATACTGGTAGGATGGAATGCCTCCTGTGTGCCCAGGGCACTGGAAATGCATCCAGGAAAAGATAGGGTGAGTCCCCACTGCCCTGTCAGGGCCAATGGCCACTCCTGAAAAACCCCTGGCTCTCCAAGTCAGGAGCCTCCCTCCCAGTTTATAGGCCCCACAAGGCTGGGATCTCTCATGAGTCACACTCCCTTAAGTTTCCATATCCAGGCTTTATTGAAGCAGCAGGCACTAACGTATCAGTTACAGACATGTGTCCTCAGGCAGGCCAACCCCCCCCCCCGCCCCCATCACCCATCTGCCCACACCCTTGTTTCTTAGCCAGGGGCCATCATCTCTTTCTCACCTCCATGCCTATAATAAATTGTTTCTGTGTCTCCAATCCTGTTTCCTTTAGCTTTAACCCCAGGAAAGGACAGAGCCCCAGAGGTTGTTCTTGATCTTCTGGCAGGATTTCCATCCTTCTATGGATGTGATAACACTTTTTAAGGCTTCCTTGAACTTGGAGAAATCACTTTGTTCAATAGCACAGTTCTTGGAGTTTGTTGGCTAAACAAGAAACATGTTTAAGTCATCTTAACAGAAAAAAACCGAATAAAATAAAACAAGCCTCATCCTCCTAGCCACAAGGATTTGGGGAGCCCTACCCCAGGGATAACTCAGGGAGGCATTTCCTATATGAGCAAGGGTAATGGGGGCCCAGAGGCTGAGGACCATCAGAGCCACCATCAGGAAGCCAGCAAGGTTTAAGCAAGGTCCCATGGTTGTCCAGGACTGGGTCATGAGGACAGCAGGGTGGGAATACCCAGGGGACCATATAAGCTGTGACCAAGGAAAGAAAGCAATTCAGTCACTTCCCCATACATGTCATTCTAAACTGTAGCCCATCCTTGCATCATGGGCTCCCAAAGAGGGGGTTTCTTAGCCCAGAAGAGGTACAAAGAATAGAGCAAACTGGAGTGAGTTTGGATTGGCTCCCCAGTGGATGAGGGTCAGCACCAAGAGGCCCTTACCTCTTCCCAGGCTCAGTCCATGTCCAGCCCTGCTCTGACTTGTCTCAGACCTTCCCTACACTGACTCCAGGGGTGGAGGTTGGTGGAGCACTTGACAAAGGACCCAGACAGAACCCTCCAGAGCTACCTTTGAACATACACTCCTCATGCCCAGCCCTCCACTTCCCACCCTCCAGCCCTTGTCAGTGAGGAGACTGCTTTTGGCTTTGAAACAGTCCCCAAAAAACAGCTGTTTCTGTGGCCCAAGAATATCCCTGAAGTCTCATATGTGGCAAGTGGCCTCCATATGAAGGCCTTTGCCCCACTGGGCCCCTGGTTCCCATGACAGCAAACAGCCACTTACTTTCAGCTTTGTGCAGATTTCATTGAGCTGCTTCATGTCCTTATAGACCTTTGTTATGTGTGGATCCTGTTTGTTATATTTTTCAGAGAGATTCTTCAGGGTGGAGGCAAAGTTTTTTGTAAACTCCCCATAGCAGGGCTCCTGAAACAGCGTTTGGGGTACTGGGATTATTGGGATGCATGGTAGGGTACCAACTAACCCTTCACCTCATCCATTCCTGGTCACCCTGGCTTGATAGAGCCCTGGACCAGTGGTCCTACCCTGATTTTCCCCAGGACACCTGTAAGCCCTGCAGGCCATGCACTGGAGGCAATGGGTGTCTTGTCTCCAAGACACCCCAGGTACAGAGCTGTGCTGGATGGCCAGAGAGCCTAGTAAAGCCCAGGACCTGGCCCCTAGCTCATCTGTTGGCTGAACTGGAGATTTATGTCCTCAAATTATCTGTCTCCAGCATCCCTTCTTATCTCTACCCTGTGTGCTAACTGAGGTGATCCCTTTCTCCCTGTTCAAATGTGGTCAGAAAGGACCAAAGAGTAGATGCTCCTTACCTCACTGGTGTTTTGTGGCCTGCTGAAGTCACCCTGCAAGTAGGAGAAATTGTTCAGAAACACAAAGGACTACAAAAGTATCACGGGTTTGATGAAGACCCAGACTTACTTCATATGTCTTGTTGTCAGCAGAAAGTTCTTCCTGAATCTCAGCACAAAGCGCTGTGTGATTTTTCTGGAGAGTCACAGTGTCTGCCTTCATTGGGGCAGAATGGCTTTCTGACCCCCAGAACACAAGAGCCAGGAGCAGATACAGATGCATGGTACCACTCGAAGGGGGCTCCCAGGCAATCTGACCCTGGGCTTGGCAGCATTTCTATGGGAAGGGGCACCTATATATGTGAGTCTAAGGAAATGCAAACCTCTTATCAATCATCAATGGCTTCCGAGGAAGACAGAGGATCTTATCGCTGGGCAAGATGTGCTTTTTGTGCATTTTCAATGACTACATCACACTTCATGGATCCTTTTCTTTGCTGAAATTCAGGCTTTTTTATTCGTAATCACATGTGGAGTTGTGACCTTTCTGCCTGAGGGGGGCAGGTCTCTGTCCAGGACTGGAATCATCTGCAGGTGCGGGCTGGAGTAGAGGGGAAAATGAGTAGTACAGCTGCTGAATACCAGTAGGGTGTGCAGCCACAGCAAGCCAGCTTTCCCAGGCCCACTTGCAAGGAGAATGCTGGGCCCACTGCCCTCCTGAACCTTGAGAACCCACTCACTTCCCCATAGTACCCAGGAGGGACACAGGAGTATAGGTTCAAGACAAGGCCTTCAGGCTGGTTGTCAAGCAAGGAGAAAGGAGGACTGCTTTTATCTCAGCTCAAAGGCCATGGATTTTAGGAGAAAGTGTTAGATTAGAAACTTCATGTAAAAGTAAAAAGCAGTTCAGAAAAATGCTACCCTAGAACCAAGTTCCAACACACTCCGAACCCACATTCTGACTCTCAAAGATTAAGATCACTCATTTTGGGGAAAGTTGGGTAAATATGCTGAGCTCTGACCCCTGTGGTTTTGTTTCTTTTTCCCTGAACGCTGTGTCTATTTGCTGTTCTACCTTGAGAATGGTTGAAGCCCTGAGTGTGAGGGCAGGAGTAGGGCACAGGGTCCAGGGCCGCAGGGGTACAAGAGTTTTGCCTGACACCAGGACAGGCCAGTTGAGACAGCGACCAGTCAACCCCAGCAACCCCAGCTTCCCCAGGAAGGAGGGTACCCCTTTTCTGGGGCAAGATTCGTTTGGCTGGTTATTTGGACTCCCATGTGAACCTGAAATACTTTCTCTGGGATGGGAGCCTTTGAGCTCCCAGGAGTACAGAGTGCTGCACCATGCTGCATGCTCACATCCCTTTGGCACTGACAGCATTGCCCCTCCACAATATGGGGCCCCCCAAAAGACTCCTGGTCCCCTCCCCAACTTCCCAACTTCCTCCCGTCCAGAGAGTAAACCAGAAAACCACACAAATAGAAGCAGACATTTAGTAATTTATTATGATAACAAAACATCATAAATAAATATAGAGTATAAGACTAAATAAATAAATAAATAAATACATATTTTAAAAATATAAATAAATAAATATTACTGATCCCTATTATTATAAAATACCCCTCACTCCTCTACCATGCCCATATCAGGGTCAGTATGGCCCAGGGAAGGTCCATGCCACCCTATCCATTGGTCCCTCCAAGACGAAAATCCTGAGTTTCTGGCTCATTTTGGGTGAAAAAGCAGCGACCTGTGAGGTTGGCTCTCCAGCTGGCCTGGCTGGACAGGCTGCCTCACTTCTGGACTGGGCCCCAGCAGTCAAAGGGGATGACAAACAGAAAGTCGTTCAGGTCCTGTTTGAAACTGTTGAAGGTGATAATCTGGGTCATACAGGAAGTTTCCTTAAGAAAAAAAAAAAGAAAAAGAAAAAACACTTAAGTTTAGACAAGTAGGTAACATGGGGAAGCAGCAGTGCGTTTCTTTTTTGACTCAGAACTCAGAGGCCAGAAGGCCCATACTGGGCCATCCATGTAACATCCAGGGTGCACAGCTTTGCCAGGGGCCAGGGTCCTGACAAAGTACCTGCCTGATCTGGTCTTCTGAACAGTCAGACTGCCTCTTTGGTCCCAGGCCAAAGAGCAGCTGAGCCAAAAGTTCACGGACTTCACTTTCTTTCTAGAAGATGAAAGGAATGTTTAGGGGGCTTTGTTCATTCCTGGGGGCCTCCCTCCTTGCTTCCATGCAATCCAGGAACCCCATAGGAAAGTCCTGACAGGAGGTGGCATTGGGGCCCTGGCACTTCCTCTGGCCCTGAATTTTCTTGGGTTTGCCTCACCTCTGACCTCATTACTCAGAGTGGCTGGAATTACAAGGATGGCAGCAACTCCCACTAGGGAGCACTGTGGGCTTCAGAGTGCTGCAATTTTAACTCCAAGGGATGAAAAGGGACTGGTTGCTCCCTGTTCTGGAACTCATCATTATACATCTGTTGACACAGAAATCCTTCTGTGTCCTAAGCAGCCATGGCTAGAGGTCCTTCCCCACCCAGTCTCCACCCTCCCAGACTAAGACCTTCCTGCTTGGGTCCCTGCTATGAGCACTCACCGGGGTCAGGGGGCAGTGGCGCTTATAGTGGCTGGCTATGATAGTCAAGAGGCCCTTGAGCTTGGTGAGGCTGCCACGCAGGCCCTGTTCATACAGCTCCAGGCGGGTCTGAAAGCAGGTTGGCTCCTGTAAGAAGTGTTGGTGGCTTGGTGAGCTGAGACCAAGTGCCCACAGTTTGCACAGGTCACCCTTCCACCACTCCTTTCTGCTCCTCCCTCCCCTGCCCTTGGAGTAGGGCCTCAAATGGGCCCAGGATGATTTCTGACTGCATACTGCCCTGTCCACCTCAGACATGCAATTGCCCTCCTCTCTGCCTGGCTTAGGCCACCCTCAGTCGGCACAGTCGCATTCTCTTAGCCTGGAACCTTGACAGCATCCCAGCCCCAGGAAAGACCATTCTCACCATTCTAGGAGAAGGGGATAGGTGGGACAGGGCATTTCCCAAAGCTGTTGAGTGAGCAAGTATTATTTCTGAGCCCCTCCTGGCCCTTCTATAGTCAGCACTCATCTCCACAGGGCTTGCTCTGTCCTCTAAGCCCTCTCATGAAGTGATCCCTGCTTTCCCACCTATCCCCTGCTGACCTTTGAATGCTAAGTCTGCCCATGTCTACTGAGCTGATAAAGGAGCCCACGAGACTGCCACAGGGGCAATGTCAGAGACCTTTTGAGCACCCAGATGCCACCCTATACTTCTGGCAGCCAGTTGTTTGGAGAGAGAGTGGGCAACCCTGTGAAGGTCCATCCAAAATGGAGCCCTTCAGGGCAGAGGCACTTGGAAAGGTGTGTCAGAGAGTAGCTTCTTACCTGGGGGTCAAATGTTTCAGCGATGACTTCTACTGTTTCATTCTGTAGGAAGAAAAATATCGTGTTATCAAGCTGACAAGGCAGAGCCAGTCCGGGGCCAGCCGGTGGCCTGGATGCAGCCCCACTCTTTCACTTACCATCACAGCAGCCGTGTCACTACTATTGTTCAGGAGGTTCTGAGCTTCTTTGATGGCAATCACGTGCTTCCAGGGCCGGGTGACAGGGCTGGGCGGGCTGGTGGGTGCAGAGATGCTGTAGACCACAGTGCCCAGGAGAAGCAGGTTCTGCAGCCACATCCTCCTGAGGACTTTAGCCTTTCTCTCTGAGTACTGGGCTCACTGGGCAAAAGAGCTCTTATATACACAGTTAGAGGAAATGATTAATGGTGACCACAAAACGCCAGGGAGGCGGGGGAACTACCTGAACTGTGGAATCTCCTGGCCCTTATCAGCTAATATGGGAACGGAGAGCCTTTCTCCCCAGGTGGTCAGGCTTCGGGGTTTTCATTAATGAACCCTTCCAAGAACTGCAGCCCACCTGCCTGCTTCCTTGAGCACTCTCCAGCCTTGCCTGGGCAGTCTGACCTGGCCCTACACTGCCCCCTCCTTTTGAGAAGCCTCTGGGTACAACTTGGACTTCCTGGCCTGGAGTGGCCGGGGCGGGGCTTGGGAGACATGAGAAGGAGCTCCTAAGCCCAGGCTCCCATCCTGCTGGTTGTGCTAGGGGCCTTTGGGATGACTGCCTACCCTAGCGACCCACTTCAGCCCCACTTGTCTCCTCCTCCTGGCCTTCTCCTCTGGCCATCTTGAGACTTGAGTGTGAGGGTTACTTTCCCAGGCTTGACCCACTGTCCACCTAGAATCCAACCACATGGCACAGTCCTATGATGGCTCATACAGGCTCCCACCAAGGACCCAGAGCTGTCGGTAAGCTCAGGCCAGCCAAGGCACCCGCCCCTGTGAGGGAATTACAGGGAATTATTCCATGTATACAGCCAGCCAGCATGATTGTGGCTGTTTTCTCTCACAGTGAGATCCCAGTCAACAGAAGCAGCCCTGGCTTACATGGCTGGTTCTGTTATTACCTTAAAGCTGCAACTGGGTTGGAGCTTTCAGGGGGGCAGGTCAGGGCCCTATATTTGACTCCTGTCTCTGGTACGACCTTGCTGAGTGACTCTTCCTCTGATCTATGTGAGCCTTGCTACTCAGTAAAGTAGCTTTCCCCTTCAAGGTGGGCATGCCACTGCCACCTGTACTCCCAGTGGGCAACAGGAGCTTTGGGGGCTTGTTACAATGTGTTACAATGTTGTAGTTGCCCTGTTCCAGACACAGGGGCCTATGACTTCTCTAGTAAGCTCTTCCAGGCTTAATTTCCTACACAGCGCCAGCTCCAGCCCAAGGCCTCAGTGTGAAAGCAGGAACTGCTTCTGGAAGAACCACAGGCTCTTGAGGGGCTGACAAGTGTTTGATTTTCACAATGGGTTTTGGAGAAGACAGCACGAGTTTGTGTTTGCACAAGAGATCCGGCTCAAGCTGCTCCTTCCCAGGAGTTTCAGGACCACAGGGCGACAGAGCCACATGTGTCCATTTCTGCATGCGTGTGTATGGCGTGGTTGCATGCATCTGGACTCATAGCTGGGTTTAGGAAGAGGGTTATTTTATGTAAGGATGCATCCATGTGAGCCCTGATTCCTGTCACTGGCTTTGAGAGCAGTGCCAGGCCTCTGGAGATGTCCCTTTGATATAAGAGAAGCTCCCCATGCTGGGCGACATGTTTCTAGGCCTGAGAGGATGATTCAGCATAGACTGATGAGGTCTGCCACAAGCTTGGACATTCTGCTGGGCTCAGGTGGGCAAGCCCTCAGAGAGCAGGTCGAACTTATGGCCAAAGCCACAAGAAGAAGGGCTGAAGAAGAAGGCAGGCTTGCTGAGCCCAGCAAGTGACAGGCCAGTAGCTAGGGCCCTACGGGCAGGGAGGGAGGAAAGCAAGAACCTACAAATGCTGAAGTCACTGCACACAAGACAGAACTTCAAGGGTTGGGCTGTGAGGTTTGTGGGCAGAAATACATCTTCCTTCTGGAAAGATGACATCAGGGCTGAGGCCATGACACAGGAAGGCATTCCTAGATTGCATACATGGAAAGAAGTGGCAACCGATAGTATCAGGCTGACCGTGCTGACTCAGGGGCCCCGATGGGGCTGCGGTGGGGCGGAGGCTGGGACCAGATGGGCGGTATGACCTCTTTGGCCTCTGGGTCCGTTAGTCCAGGAGAAAACTCTCTGGAAGAAGTTTCTTGTAAGTGTCCCTCCCCATAGGCCCTGGAGGAACTGGGGGCTTGTGGCTACCCCAGGATACTTATCACAAGAGGAAGTTATAGGGGAAAAGAGATCTACCCCAAAGTCCCTCACATCCTGTGAGATATCCACATTGGCATCTCACATGATTTGATTCTTCCTTGTGCCTGCCACCCCTTTGGGAGGTCCTGTTCCTCACTGAGGGTCTGAGGTCTAGGTGACCAATTCCAGTCCAGTACACAGAGGACAGGATGACAGCAGGGCCAGGACTTGAATTTGTATTTGTTCTACTGCTGTGATACTTTCGGCTACCTCAGGAGTCAGAAAGTCAGGAAATGCTGATCACCTGGCTGGTCCAGCAAAGGGGTAGACCCATATGCCTGTCTCCCTCAGGGCAACTATAAAGGGAGACTCTTACCAATAGTAGACAGGGAGGCTAGAGTGGCTGGTGACTGTCTCAGGGACTGAAGGCAGAATTTCCCTGGCAAATTCTGCCATCCAGACATCTGTATGCTGCAGGGTTGGGCTTTTGTCCTTACTCAGTCACCATGGCTTCCTGGCCAGCCCAGGAAAGTGCCCCCTCCCTGGTCTCAGCTGCCTCATTTGTACAACGTATTAATTACTGCTACCTCTTAGAGAAAACTGCTACCTATCCCATGAAATTTGATGGGAGGATCCTCCTTGGGAGGAGGCAATGCTCTTAGGTCTTAAGCCCAAACTGGACAGAGGTCCTAACTTTCTGGAATTTTCAGAAACAGCTGCTCCTTACCCAAGCCCCAACTCCATGGAACATCTTTGTGAGCAGATGTGGTGAGGTGCAGAGACCAGCCTCCCCGCAAGTCAGGGCTCACGGAGGCCTGCATTACCCCAAGGGAACCCAAATACAACACTCTGGGTGGCTTTTCTTTCCCTAAGAATGCATTATTATCACTTATGCCCACACCAGACACATGGAGCAGCATCTCTGGCTTTCAGGGTCTCTGCTCCAGGCTACCCCCTCCCACACCACCTGTCTTGCCTCAAAAAGGCCAGGCAGTTCTGGCCAAACTCCAGTTCTGCTGTTCCCTGGATGTCCCTAGGCCCTGGAACAGGCGATTCCTCATCAGTCTGGGAGGATCTGAGTGTGGTTAACTGTCAACCCTGAGTGGACTCTGCATCCATTCAGCCAAGCTTCCAGAGGGTCTCCAATATGGCAGACTTACAGGCCCCTTGCACTTGGAGAGCTCCTGTCTGTGGTCCTGTAGGATGGGAGCCCAGATCTGTGGGATGGGGGTGCCAACCAAGACATGCATAAAGAATGAACAGCTACAAGGAAGTACTCCTGAAAGGAGAGTAAGGCAAGACTCAGGAAGGCCTTGAGGGGCAGGTTGGAGTGTAGATGGGGGGAGGGGGCAGAAGGTGAGTGAGAAGTCTCTGGTGCTCAGAGCCTGACTTGGACAGCTGGGCGGGTGTTGGGGTCACTTTTTGCAGTGGGGGAGACCCAAGGTAGTAGTGAGGCTTGGGTATCAGCCACCCTGGACTAGATATGGCATATTTGGAAGGCAGGGGTGGGGTGCTCCAGGAAGACTTGGTCAGTTGTGTCTGTGGGTCAAGTCAGGACCCAAGACACTGGAAGTCACTTGAAGAGTCACTGGTCAAAAGTCGCACAAATGCAGCAATATTATGGGACATGGGTCACACTAAGGGAAGGCCGCACAGGGAAGGAAAGAGCAAGGGAAGGAAACCAAGAATTTGAATGTGGTTGATGTGCTTGCTGTACAGAAATGAATATAGAAATCTTAAAAGTGGCCAGGCCACCATGGAAAGTAGACTAGGGAGGAGTGAAGAAGACTGGAAGAGATGAACCAGTTGGGGTTGTAATACATACATGCATGGAAACAACACAAGGAAACTCCCTGTGTCTTTATCTCAAACTAGCAAAACATCATGTTCCTCTTTTTATCTTTTATGTTTTTTCTTCTACAAAATCGGAGAACAGGAGGGCAGAACAGGTTTTATGGTGGGGAGATGGGGTAGGAGGATTAATACGGTGCAAGTCATATATATATATACTTGTATGAAAATGCAAAAATGATACCTGTTGAAACCGTTCCAGGAATCAAGGGAGAGGGGATGAAGGAGAACAGTGGAGGAGGTGAATTCAAGTATGATATATTTGATACATTGTAAGAACCTTTGTAAATGCTACAATGTACCCCCACCCAGCACAACAATAATAATTTTAAAAAGCCACTGTGAGGGCTGGGGGAGTGACTCCAGTGGTAGAGTGCCTGCCTAACAAGTATGAGGCCTTGAGTTCAAACCCCAGTACTGCAAAAAAAAAAAAAGTCACTATAAAGAGGGCTCCAAGCATCAGATGAGCTGTGTAGACCCAGCAGGCTGAGGGATACGAGCTTCATTCATAAGTTCTTCATTCCCTGTTCTTAGGGCTCCTAGATGTTTCCCTAGGATCTGATAACTACATCAAACCTACTTGGGTAGATGAGTCCTATGGGCACACACTCCCATGGGAGCTGCAGGCCTGCCCACCATGAAGTCTTCCTCCTGCCTGCATCTCTTGTTTACCCACAGGGCACTCCTTCCAGGGCTGAGAATGTGCCCCTCACCCATGAATCTCTGCTCTGAGCCTTATCCCTTAAATCCCCAACTGGGAGGATCCTTGGGCACCAACAACTGGGAGGATCCTTGGGCACCAACACTGCCTTTATCTGCCTCCTTGGGAAGAATCACTGGGGGCTGTGTGAAAAAAATTAAAAGGAGGAGAAATGGGACCAGAAGCCTTTGCAGCTTCTAGGAGTTCAGAGGACACCCTTCCTGTCCCATGTTTGGGGGTGACATCTGGGCCACGGTGCTGGGGGAACCACAGACCCTTGTTTGCCTCCCACACCCACCTCCCTGTGACGCTGATGTGGCTTTCTGTTCTTAGAGGATGAGGAGTTGTGGAATGAGTTCCCCCAGGACTTGCAGATCTCCCCAGGCTCCCTCAGACTTTTCCTGAGGACCCTTTTGGGCAGGAAGAGAGCTTGTGTCCAGGTCTTTCAGATCCCAGAGAGCCCTGTCCTTGAGCTTATACACTCTGCTCCCTCTTTGTCATTCCTTTCTCAGGGCAGAGCCCCTTTGCTCCTTCCAGCACCTCACAAGAGACCTCACAGCCTCTCACGGGGTGAAAGCCCCTATACCGCTCAGGCCAAGGGGCCAGCAGGTGGTGAAGGTGAATTGAAAGGATCCTTACCAGTGCTTCTGGATGGCAAGAGGGAGACATTAGGAACCTCTCATCCCAGCCCT